GCGTCTAGATTGGCCACAGACGCTTTTCCGCAAAAAGTGATTTGCGGAAAAGCGTCCATGCCAATCTAAACGCGCTTTTCCGAAAATGCTTTTAACGGAAAACTTTTCTGTTAAAAACATTTCCGGAAAATCATGCCAGTGTAGACGTAGCCTGCGAGTTTGGGTATAGAAGGAATTTCGGAGAAGGGTTTCAGTATATTTTAATAATTACAAATATTAATTTTGTTTATATTTAATTGTTGTATTTTAAAGAGTTTCAATTTTTAAATATATTGTATTAAGTACTTAAATCTATTTGCTGCATTATGAATTTTTTTGAGGGACAGTATTTGAGAAAAAGTATCTGTGTTACGTTCAAATCAATTCTGAATCAGGGATCTGTCATATTCCAAATCATTAATAATTGCGCACATTCTTGCTATATGGCACTGCATTTTTTTCAAACAAAAATAATGAGAGAGAAGAGGGGAAGAAATTGAGAGAGAGGCAGAGATCTTGCACTTTAAATCAGGTTTATTACTTGTGATGAATGAGGCTCTCTCTGTACAGCTTATGAATTCTAATTTATATTGTGAAGCTGTATTATGAAACACTGCGGTATTACAAGTGCCTATATGTATGTGACTCCATCATTGCTGACATGGTCTGTAACATGTACAAGCAGATACAAAGGGGAATACTTAAGACTAATAATCATACTTAGACAGGCCCACTGACAAAGAGCTACCTCAGGAGCAACAGCAGCTGGAGTCCTGGGCCCTTTAACTCGCTGCTTGCGGAGAGGAGGGGCCAGCATCTTCTGGGAGTGAGGAGGCAGACCCCTTCACCTTGTCCAGGTGCCCAGCAAGTCTGCCAGTGCCCCTATACTTAGACCTCACAAAGGTTATTTTTTGAAAAGCAGCTGTACCATTAGAAAAACCGGTTTATCTGATTCCTCTTGAGAAGGAAGAGGGAAGGTGGAAATACTGGAAACGTACCAATATGAAAACAAAAGATACCAGATAGGGGTTAAATAAAAAAAACTGAGAGCAATAGGGTCAGATAGGAAGAGGACACATGGAGAAGGAAAAAGCAAACTCATAGAAACTGGGGCTACAAGGAGGAGAAGTCACCAAGCACTTAACAGCATCATGAGAACGGGAATGTCTATTCACTTTCCTGAGCTCAGATTGCCTCAATGACTCTGGACAATGAAAGGGACCCACACCTCAGCCTAGAGAATACTTTGGAATGATGAGGAAACTGAAGCAGGGGCATGATTTGTACTCTCCTGTGTGTGATTAAGTCTAAAAGAACATAAAAGTATTATATTGTGATTGCTTCACAAGTATTGTGTGCCCCCAAGACAGTTATAATGTAACCAGGGGCTGAGCTCTGAGAGAGGGGTGTGTTGAACTAGGGTATCTTGAAGGATGAGTGGTGGTCCTCAGGTGGACTGAGAAACCCCATTTCCAAGCAGTAGTAGCAAATGAGGAGTCAGTGCCCAGGAAATATGCCAAAGAGGCCAAGGGAGGAACCATCACTGTAGACGACTACGAAGACAGGGGACCCAACGTATGGAAGCTTCGATTCCTAGCAAGCCTGGGGGTAGTGTAGCTTGGTAGGATTGGTCACACTACCTCAAGCAAGGAAAACTCAACTCCGGGGCACTAAATCCTAGACCTAATTCTACAACTCCTGGATGTCACAAGACCCAGACGCATTTATCTGGCTGTGAGACTATTAGGGGTGGTTTATAAATTAGAGGGAGATGCTTACTCGCCATATATTCAATGTGTTCTGCAACATTTACCATCCTACTACTCTACGAGAAAGCTTTCTGTGTATTGAAGTCTGATCCAAATTTAGTTAACTTCACAAAATGCCTTTCAGTTGACTTTCCATTAGGAGTTGGCATATGGAGAAGGAGGCAATGCAACACTCATTGATTATAGATAAAGCTCTTGAAAGCCCCACATCCCACCAAAACAAAAGTCCCCAAAGGTTTCTGAGGTGGTATTTTCTCAACCTAATGTGGCTTAAAGGACTTTAATCCAGCAACATTTCAGAGATATATTAATGTTCTCTTTTGTAATGAATCTTTGAAAGTTTGCAGATATCACAGTACTGATTAACAATGATTTAGCTGCCAGATATACAACTTGCATAAACTATCCAAAAGTTTCGGTGACAATACTGAACTCTTTTGCTTTATTTTGATTAACGTTGTAAAAAAGGTTTTTCAAGAAAAGGTGATTTATATTTAAATTCTAATTTCCTTTGTAAATAGAGTAGGGACAAACATTTTCTCTTGCTGGTATAGTGCCTAGTAAACTAAAAATCTAAGTTGGAAAATATACATGAATTGAGAGATAAATGTCAACAAGTCATGAATTGGAGTGTGTTCCGAATTGTTTTACCCTTTGAAAGAGTAAATTACTCATACAAATATTCAAAGTTATGAAGAAATTTTTAGGAAAAAATATTTTAACAGAGAATATCTGATTCACAGAATGTAGAAAGGCAATTTTTACTGCTCTGGTTTAGATAATTGCCCTTATTTGATACTTAATTAGCCGTCATCATGCAAACATGATTGCTGTGGGGTTTAAAATTCTTGTTACTTTTGGTTAATGATATCCATAATTAGTTCATGTAAACAGATTGAAAGAAAAAAACTGATAGGACTCTTTGGGAAAGGAAATTCAACATGATTGGACTGATTTTAAAAAAATAAGCATTCTACTTCACATCACATTTTAAAATTTAGTACAAAGAATCCTTTTTTATCAGCTCCAGATCCCAGAGGTAATAGAAATGTGACATGTTCTTAGCTCTTTCACTATCCTGCTGTGTGACCTTAAGTAGTCACTTCACTCCTCTGTGCTGCCTTTGCATCTCCTACAATTGATCTGTCTTGTCTCTCTAGACTGAAAACTCTTTGAGCTGGAACTACCTCTTATTATTACTATTCTTACTGCTAGACAGCTCTCCAACACTCACATCTACAGGCCACTATCCTTGGATCCCACTGAGGAGTACTAAAAGAAACTACACAGTTTACTCAGGAAACTACCTGAAGAAGCATAGGAACAAATTCTCACAGACCCACCCTTAGCTCAGGGGTATTCTATCTGCTACCCAAGAGCCATAAACCTGTAAATCCTGGATGGCCCATCATATCAGGCATTGGCACTGTTACTCCAGGACCGTCTGGTTATATTGATTCCTTCCTCAGGCCCTACATGCTCCACTATCTTTGAAATTCAACCAACTTTCTGAAAAAACTACAATCCATTGGTGATCTTCCCCAGAAAAACATCCTAGCCAATACGGATGTAGAAGCTCTCTACACCAATAGTCCACACAAGGATAGCTACAAGTCATGAGGAACTATCTTTCCAATGATGTCATGGCACAAATGGTTACTGAACTGTGTGCCTTTGTTCTCACCCACAGACATTTCAGATCTGGGGATTATTCACACCTTTAAGTCAGAGGCACTGCCATGAATACTCACATAGTGTACTGTAAGGCCAACATTTTTATGGCTGATTTAGAACAACTCTTCCTTAGCTCCTGTCCTCAAGTGCCCTTCTTCTATTTGCACCACACTGACAACATCTTCATCATTTGGATCCACGGGAAGGAGGCCCTTGAAGAATTCCACTGGGATTACAACAATTTCTGTGCCGCCATCAGTCTCAGCATGGACCAGTCTACAAAGGAGATCCACTTCCTGGACTCTACAGTACAAATAATTGATTGTCACACAGACCACTCTATACCAGAAACCTACTGACTGCTCTACTTATTTACATGCTTCCAGCTTTCATCCAGAACATATTACATGATCCATTGCCTACAACCAAGCTCTGGGATACAACTGCATTTGCTCCAATCCCTCTCCTCCCCCTTCCCCCCAAAAAAACCACAACAACCACCTTGTGGCATCGAGTCCAGAGACCAGATCAGCTGCCTCTGGTTTGTGGGGCTCACATTACAGGACTGAAAATAGCAGTGTAGATGTTCAGGCTTGGGCTGTGAGCCCTTTGTGGGCTCTGGCTTTGCAATGTGCTCTGCTTGGGGGGTGTTTATGTGGTGTTGGAGAGATTAGTGAGGTGACTGTTGGGGCAAGCTGTATAGTAATCCCCTTGAGGCTCTCCTGACTTGGGATGAGGTTAAGCTGAGATCAGTGCCAAGGCGGCAGAGAATGGCCTTTTTTAAAATGAAAAAGGGCAGATTAGCAAAACACACTATGGAGTTATTCACCAAAATGCCCCCCTAGAAGTGTTGAGGAGTGGAAGAGCAAGTTATACCACCAGAGAAGATTGTGCAGCTATATTTGATCAATTTCCCAGCCTTCAACTTTTGCTTTAATCTCCCCTGCAGACACACTCAAAGTGCAGGTGAAAAACGGCCCTGCAATGATGACTTAATGCATTCACTGTTACCAGCCTACAAGGATATGTGTTATAGGGCATTTACAGGGGAACTTAACTTTCCGTAGCTTTACAGACATGCAATGCCCATGTGTCTACCTTATGAGGTGAGAACATGAACCAAACTAATTTTCTGGAATTGCTGTCTCAAACTATTGTATTTCACACAAAAGAATGGTTTCCTCATTTAAATCTGCCATGGAAGAGGGATGGAGTAAAGGCTGTGACTGCCATTTTGAAGTGGTGAATGGGAGTTGGGGAAGGAAAGTAGTGGACTAGGTTCTCTGGGCAGGATAGCTGAGGGGAAGGGAAAGGGAAAGGGATATTTGGGCATGTGTCTTGGGCCTGAATGCAGCCAGTAATCAGGACTTTGGC